TTGGTTCTTGTAAAGAACGAAAGGTCGGTGACCTAAATTATGCTTCCTCAAGCGCAAAGCTACGGCAGCCCCGCTGCACCAGGAGTAATGGGCTGCACTTAGCCATTAAATAAAGGTACTTCTGTATGCATTGTATGAATTTATAAGAGAAGATTACAGTATGGAGTTCCCAAATGAATATGTAACATGTAATATCAAGTCACAAACATTCTGTGTAATACAGAATGCTGTTCGAACTTAGGGATCTGTACTGGCGACGAGACCGACGTGTTACTGTCTTTCGAAAGGTGACGTTAGCCAGTCCTTCTACTGGATACTTTCCCCGAAAGTTTTAGTTCTTCGAAGCTAAAGCTTCGTAGACCCAAGATCTTCCTCGTTGAAGAAGGGTAAAGCCGTAAAGTCTTCTTAGAATATTAAATCAGGTGATTCATTGGGCACTCTAATCTGACAGCTTCTTTTTTATCACCAGAAAAGAAAAATGTTCGCTTTAATGACTTCTCAAGCGATGTGCAGGTAAAAATGGAAATATTGAGACGTCTGTGCTTTTATGAGCCCAGAGCGATTGTGTTAGTAATATGACAAGGGATGAGACGAGCAACAAAGATATTGATATGACTTCAATGAATTTACGCATGAAAGCCGGGTCATACTTGCTTAATACAGTAATGTAGTATTGTAGTAAAATCTACAAGGTTCAATAGCAGAGTAGTGGTACTTCAACAAACAAAGGTCCGTAGGATACATTTGCGTACCTTATGGAATTTGTCAATCAGAAGTTTTTGCCATCACAGAGGATAAACATACACGATAGTGGAATATTCCAATCCAAGTCCGGACAATATTAACACAGGACTCAAGCTCAAGAAATTTTCCAGAAAACAGGATATTTCGGAGACAATGTGAATATAGCTTTTTGGCAATCGAAGTGCGTCGCAAACTCAATAAAAATACAGAAAAATCTGAACAGATGTAAAGAAGATACCTACGAGTACGTTCGTTTGGTCCATGATGGATTGTCAGCGTTGCAAGTGGGAATCTTATTGCCAAGGACATGTTGGAGAATGGATCAACACGGTGCTGATGTGAGGAAATTTGTTTATGCTTTTAGTGGCTGCTTTCTATTCAGCAATCGCAGCTCCGATTTCATCAAGAGCCACGTCAAGGTTGAAATTTCCGCATCCAGACTGCTGTCATCATCCGTTTATTAGCGTCCTGAAAGCAACGTATAATACACGTCATATCGAGTAACAAATAAATTGTAAAAGTTGCTTGCACAACCGGCTCAAAAAACGAAATAAATGAAAACGTTACCATCGGTCTACTCCAATGCCTTGCAGACCCACGAACCCACCGACCTCACTGGCGGTGACCATATTTGGTGTATGCCATCCGGCCAATTTGCTTCAGCTAAATTTAAGATTGCAAAATGTCCTTAGGTTAAAATGTCGATAAATGCCGATATCATCGATCTGAAACTTCGAAGTATTTGATAAGGAATTACACACATCTTTTTGCCGTGCGTCCGGCACTTTGTCTTGAATTCCGTCAAGAATTGCAATTCAAGCTGTTTCCATTGCTGGCAATTACCATCGGTGGGTGCAAATCCATCCAGCGATTATACAGTGAACCACCACCCCACGGCTTCTTCTGAAATGTGAAAAACACTTCATCAATTTTATCAAAGTTGGCTTTGATCTGTAATGGGGCCTCGTCAGCTCCTTCCGGATCAAAATCAGGCAGCATCTTGCCGGCTGCGCTATCTGCAAAAATGGCAGCGATGAGCATGGATGCAAACCCTGTTGAGCGAGCAATTACGTGACGATTACAAACAACGTCATCTGTCTGGTTAAGTGCGTCTACAAAAACACGTTGATTTCATCCATCAACATTATTTCGTCGAGATCCATATGCGGCAGCTATTCTTGCAAATATCACATGTAGCTTACCGCTCGTTCGACGACAAAATGATTTTAACGTGGCAGCGATAAAGTGATAGACCGTAGTGAGCCATGAGACCCAGCGAGGTTCTCTCGTGGGACGTCGTGTTCGCGAAGAAATGAATAAATGGTAGCAGCCATGTTGAGCATTCACATTTCGGCCCCTTTTCCTTTTCTTGAAGCGCGTGTTGATGATTTTATTGCAAAGTATCTTTCATGGCGCTGAATTCGGGCTTGTGGCCACCGCCAGAAAACCGCAATCGGTGTGGTTTGGCTGCCATAATGTCTGCTAATATGTTCTGATTGCAATACCGCCCACAACAATACCAAATAATCGAAATAAGTAACGACTCTTCTGGGCACACGCCCGCTATATTCTTCAATCCAAGTACTAACTTCTCAATTGAACTGACATTGCGCCGTTTCGCCGTACCATCAGTAGTGGAAGGGTGCTACAATTAAAGGCAAAACGAGGTGTTAAAACTTCTGTTGTGGAGAACTATTGTTTCCTAAATTTGTCAAAAATCTGAATTATTTATAGTGTGGTAGTGGATAGTGTTTTGGGGTCTTTATTTAAGAATGGACTCTAATCAGGAAAATCCGTTAGTTGAAAATTGCACCTTAATTTTACCTACGAATTTTAGCACTGTTTAGTGTTTATTACTCGAGAATCTAGCATAGACACTACGAAATTCTCTCTACGACTGTACATGATAACTCAACACTGTATAGTCTTGTATGTTTGCAGAATTGTTGCTGATACTTGTAGTGAAAGCCTTCTTTCAGCTTAGTCGTAGTCTCAACCGGATGCATAGTAGTTTTTACAGAATCGATTCTTCGTTGGGGTTTCCCAATGCAGTATCTAGTAGTTGTGCCGATTCTTATAGCTAGAGCCCGATCAGCCGTTTTCTCATGATTAAATCTACGGTCGTTGCCAAAATTGATCAAATGTGTTAATAGACCAGAATCCCTCTCAAGAATATAACATCTTAATGTGTCTTCTGTGCGTGAAAGTGTACCGTCGACCATATCAAAACATCAAGGACCCACTAGGGAATTTCGTGACAATCTTCATCTTTTGACCACAGCCAAAAACTCCGTAATGGTCACAACAAGCAGATGGCCATAGCCGTTCAGCGAGCACAGCTTGCTGATGCGTGCTATCAAATGAGCTTCAATTTTTAGATCTTGCTATCACTCTCAAACGCCGATACGACGGCATACATCAATAACGTGGAATGGTTCTTTATTTATCTTGCTGGCAACAAGAGACTGTGATAAGTGATGTAGTGCTGTGATTTGAAAATAAATCGAGGTGGTATTTACATCACGGCTAGTTGACTTTTTGATATATGCTATACGTACGGCGTACAATTCAGACACGAATTGGTTGCACTGTTTTAGAGCTTTGTGAAGCAATTTGTCTTCGTTTACACTTGTCCTAATTTGCGCGAAACCTTCCTTTCGTCTAGGATTCGTAGTGGGTAGGATGCATTTAATTGATCAAAATAGACCCACGACGAATATTCTGGCTTCTATGTGTTAAACCACTGCTCGGGGAGCCTTAGCGTTACGATTAATACTTCTTCATAAGTCTTTTCGATTGAAGATCACAATAACGAATGCACGATACCTCTCGATACTTCTCAATAAACTGCAGCATCGAAAACTTTCATATCCATGACTGCCACAATCTGTCCATCTTATCCCACTCCACCACTTATACTTAATAAAAATAGAATAGCGACCCTGCACCTGTCAGTTAAAGCCTCGCAACTTGAAGATGTTGATGTGGAG